TGCTGTTGCCTGGAAGAGTATTCTTGGGAAAAGTATGTTCATCATGAATTTGTAGGTGCTGGTCGTCAAGGGTTACTATTTTTATTACACCTATGTTTGCCCATTTAAGCGCCCTGGAAACTCCAGGCCTTGCCCAAAAGAAATAGCAACACCATAGGCAGGGACCGCTCGGCCTCTTTCCCCTTCAGTATCCTCTCATTTCAACCTGGAGGAAACTCTTAAGCAGCAAGAGGGTTATTCACTTGCTGAAAATACAGCTGCTGTCTTAGCCACTGAATTTGCCAATAAACATTGAGAACATCTAACAAGTTTGTGCAAAAGGAAAGTTTTGGTTAAGCCTGATACCACTCTGGAATGATTTTCATTTAATAGGGACAAGCACTCTTTATGGGCTTCTCAGTTCGTCGACCTTATCTTGGTTTACATAAGATCAGCTGAGAATTGTTTTGTGTCAAACTGGAGGAAACCCATTTTTACACTAAAGCATCAAGGCAGAGGCTCTCCTAACGCCTTCAGAACCGCAGCACTGGAACAAGTAAAACTTTCCCATGTAGACAATAATAAATGAAAAGACTTTCCATTAGCAGGTTTACTAGAGACTGCCCTGCTTGGAGTGTATGCTCTATAACAGCTTAGAGCCTGAGCCAAGCAGCTGGAGCAGGTCTCCAGCTATGTATTCCTGGCAGTGATTCAGCCCCAATTTGACCGGGGCACCAACACAGCCAGAACACTGCATGAGGCCAAGTGTGCTGCACCAGCGAGTGCTGTGGGTCTGAGGAGGGGGAGCAGAGGGGGACGAGGAGGCAATCCACACCTGCACTCTCACCACACGCGTAACAAATGGCTAACCCAACACCTTCAGAGTCATTGTGTGCGCCACCAAACTTTCAGGTGATAAAGAGAACAACTGCCAAAGCTCCACTGGAATAAGCAATCTGGTTCTGAAGAGCTGCTAACACCAAACCCCAGCAAGACGCTCTCAAGCAGATTTGAGTGACTCCAGAGGGCAGATCCTCCAAGAACAGTTTGTCATCAGCCCACGAGGCACTCAGTGCCAGCTCCCTCAGCAGGACTGAGCTGATGCTTTTGGTAGGCTCTTGTTCCAATTTGCATGTGCTGACAATCTGTAATTAATAGCAGCTTATCACCAGCTTAGTGGTAATGACCCAAGACAAAGGCAAGGCTGTGAATGGCATCCACCTTGCAGAACAACTTGTAATTTTTTTTTTTTTTCTTCTCCCCCCTAAATGAGAGTTGTACACTAAGGGCTTCTGCTCTGGAGTACAGCACAAGGCTGGCAACATGCTAATATAGAAGGGAGGGCCTTACCAGCAGGTCATAAGGACAAGGACTATGCTCCCCACACCTCCCTGGTCCCAGAGATAAAGAGGAGTGACTCTTAGTTAAGGTAATTCAGCTGAGACTGGACCATAAGGGAGTTATGGTCATTTTTCAGCAACCAAAATCAAGCTTTTACTCATCTAGTTTGTTTGGCACGTTACAGGTATTTTAAGGTAACCGTTCAATGCGCAGTTGTGCCCCTACCAGTCTGTGCCTGCATGGTGAGAGCCCTGTGGACACACCAATTGTCCTGTTAAGTAGAGCACTCCCTGCATCTACAGAGATCAAAATACGCACAAGGAAAGGACCTCCCGATGTTACCGCTTGTACAACAGAGCCTGCATGACTCCGGGTGCTTAGCATCCTTACAGCTTGATTGAGATCCCTGAAAGCACAGGCCACAGGAGTTACACTTTCACTGGCCATGTTTTAACCACCTCCAGGTTTCGGATGTAGCATCACGACAACTCAATGGGCAGCCCCTGGACCTGCATGAATTGTTTGGGCTGCTGAGGATGGTGGTGGGAGAGGCTGAAGCAAGACCCAGAGGGGTGTTCCCCCCCCCCCACGCCACCCTTGCTGCCCACCAAGCAGAACCAAACACGGTACTCGCTAGATGTAGGTTTGGGTGAGCGCAGCTTGGTTTGGGAGGCGGGATGGGACGTGTGCGTGAAACCCTGTGCTGCTACTCCAAAGCAGATTTGTAGCTGGCAATTGTGGGCTTACACGTCCTCGTTTGCTCTGCTCTCCTGCCACACCTTCCAGCCTCGTAAAAGTATTTGTGTTTTCGCCCATCATCTCAAAGCTCACTCCAGTTCCACACCTCTCTCTGTGCTGTCATCTCGAAGGACAGGGCTGTTATTCCCCAAATCTGTGCAAACGTGCACAGAGGTCACCGAGACGCTCAGGCAGTAACTCTCCCCCCTCCGCCCTCTCCCACGCCTCTGCCGAGCTCTCCGGAGCGCTGGGCCGGGGGCGATGCCGGGGCCGCCGTCCCCGGGAGGCTCTGCCCGCCGGCGTGGAGCTCCGCGGAGCTCTGCTGCCCTCCTGTGCCTGCCGGCCAGCCGCCACCGGCAGTGGAGCCCGGGGCTGCGGCAGCTCTCGGGGGGCACCGGCGACGGTGCCAGGGTGAGCTGTGCCCAGGCAAGGGGTCGGTCCCCAAGGCTTGCTTCTCTGGAGCTGCACGGGAAGGCGAGGGGAGAAGGACATGTCAGTGAGGAAACTGACACAAAGATGGTACAGATGTGTCGCTCTAACTTACTTTTTGATGAAAAAGTTTTCGTTTCAACGGATTTCTTTTAAAGAGCATTTCTCTAAAGTTTGCCAATCTCGAAGAAAAACAAAGAAAAATATTTCTCTTTGTTCTCTTCTTTTATGACTCCTTTTTTCTTTTTCCCTTTTTGCATTTGAAAGGCAAAAGAGATAAGATCTTTGGCTCCAGAAATGACTCAACTAACCTGGAAACCCCAGCTTTGCATTTAGGTTTGCACTGAAGGAGATATATTCTCTCCTCCCCTGAGGAAATTCCAACACGACCTTCTTGGGTGCTCTGTCCTCTCCCTCATAAGCACAGAAGTAAGGAATGTGTCTGTATATAATGTATAGTATATATATATATACACACACACATGCAGTCTAAAATCTGTATTGAACAAGAAGCAGCTTCAGAAGAATAATTTTTGTACATTGCCAGACATCATTATTGAATAAACCACATTTGAGAGGTAAGAGCAGCTCTTACACCACCACAAACAGCAGGAAAAAACAATGCTAAAAAGCAGCCTACTTCAGTGCTACGGATGCCTCCACAAAAGCTTTGTATCATTGGACTGCCTCACCTCTATGAAATGCACAAAATGAAGGTGTAATGATTAAACACAGACCAACCGGGTCTCCCGTTTCCGAGCTGAGCCAAGTTCTGCGAGGGGGAAAGGAAACTAATCTTCCAGGTTTCTGAGTGAACGCTCTCTCGAGGATCTCACAGGCTTTGGACTTGGCCAGGGCAGGTTCTCCTCCCCTCTCACAATCCAGAGCAGCTCAAGAAATCATATAACACACGCCATGCCGGCATCGGTGGGTGGGCAGACGAGGGTTGTTGGCACACTATACACCTTCTGGGTCCTTCTTATCTCTTCCCCCCCTCTCCACAACACTCTGGCATGCCTCTGCACTCTTGCAGATATTCTGGTCTCCAGACCTTTCTAGTGCCATTGGCACAGAGTACAGAAAAAGGGCTGTGGTCCAGAATTGGGGCTCAGAGGCTGAAAACAGGAGACAGGCATACAGTATGAACCCAGGAAGAATGACTTTCTAGTTGACACAACCTGAGAGACTAGAAGGCTTTGTTTTCTTCCTCGGTGTGGAAAATAGATTTGCTGAAATGATGAGCAATACCTCATTACAAAGCAGGAAAAAGTAAAAGCAGAAGATAGAACTAAGAGAAGAGGCAGCATCCCCCTCCACAGCAGCTTATCACTCATGTAGACAACAGCGATGAATCATCACAGACCCTGTAAAACCCAGGCCACCTTTGGTGACATTTTACTTCCTTCTGTGCTGTCTTGTGCTGGTGTATAAACATCTGAACACCAACTGAACAGAGAATATAAAGGGGATGGGTTCAAAACTCTTTGTTACGTTTTTACGCAGTGGGCAACCACAGGCAGTCACCTCACAGACACTACCATCAGCAGATTCCTACTAGAGATACAACAGTACTCCTAACAAACAAATGCATGCACACACAAACCAAACAACAGCAGCAGGACTACTGGACATACCCATCACATGCCCACACTGCTTCTTTCCTCATCAAAACCCAAATCTACTCCCAATCTAAAGTAACAGGATCAAATTCATTTTAGAGAGGAGGAATCTTCCCTCTTCCAATACCCACTCTAGTCCCTTCTTCCCACACACACTCTGATCCTTCCCAGTAGCTTTTTATCCTTCAGCTCTGATCTTTGCTTTCTCCTAGTTCACCCTTACTTCATTTCTGCAGGTGTGGACTCACCCACTGGACCAACCCAGGGCTGCAGGAAGGTACCAAAGAAAAGGACGAGGTTTGCTCCAGGAGGGGAGATTCTTATTTTCTTGTGTCTTTGCGGAGTCACGAGGATCTTTTGGGGGATCTGAAATTTATCCTGTTCTTTGGGATAAGCGACATGTGAGGGAGGGACATCAGAACGGAGAGATGGAGGTGTATTTTCTGTCCTCTCCCTTTGGTGGCTGAAGTTTCAATTTTCTCTATGAAAGCACAAGTCTCAACAATCTGGGATTGCATGCAGCCCCATCTGGCCCCTGCCCTTGCTACCAGAAAGCAAGAGATCAAGGATGCGCAGATGCCTTGAATGTGTGCCAGGAGCTGAAATTATGTGTCAGGAAACAGCATTTCCCAGGGATGCACCCCAGAGAAGCCAGGATTTGTTGGGGTATGAGCTGGGCAGAAAGGGAGGAATTAGAACAGCTCTGGTGGGCTGAGTTCGGGATTCTGAAAGGTTCAGTAACACGTGCAAAAAAGTCCCTATAATTCTCTAGGACGACACATAAGAATTTCAGGACCAAATGGATGGGATCACAGGACCTGGCTACTCTGGTGCCCTATCACCTTGACGCCCCAGAGGTATTAAAGATGCATCTCTTGGTGTCCTGCTGCCTATGTGGGTTTTTTTGAGAGTGAAGCCAAGAAGGTGGAAGCAATCTGGGGGGCAGCTGGGGGTGCAGGAGCTGGAGGTCTTTTTCCATCCCTTGCTAAGGGTTTCCCCTGACCTTACAACCGAGAAATAGTTCTGGTACTGGATTCTTCAGTGTAAATGATCGGCTTTGTGGGTGGGAAACAAAACCTGGGGTTGGAGAGTGTGTGTGAGTGTGTGTGTGTGTGTGTGCAAGCGGCTGTTTTGACACCTTTTCTTTATTGTCCTGGCTGTCGGACACATCAAACCAAGCCCGGATTTCTCAGTTTCTTGCCATCAGATGATTGCATTTCAAAAGGAGCTGGGACAATGTGGCCAGGTCACACCTCAATTCAAGTGCAGCAATGGCCTGTCAATGCGCCTCTTACGGCCAGCAGGGCAGGAATTATAAAAATCTCTTAGGTTTACACAGAAAGTGGCAAAACAGGGAAAGGGGGAGATCCCATGCCAGGGGAGTCCGTGTTTCCCGCATCTCAGAGCTGCATTGCCTGTCTGAGGGCACTCCAGATGCTGGGAATGATAACAGGGGTCCATTGTTCCTGGCCACAGCTTCTTCCCTCCCTACCTTTAAACAAGCACACAAAACAAAAGCAGCCCCCGTCTTCCAAACCTTCCCATGCCCCCCCCTCCCAAGAAAGTGTG